CGGCCGTACCCATGCCACCCGCTCTTGCTGCACCGGGGCGACCCTAGCGCAACCATCAGCCAGTGGACTGGCCACTGATACGCGTAAACGAGAGAACATGCATCATGGAAGCACGCGAGACGACACGGCTGCTCCACGGCATCTCTAGCAAAGAAGACCTGGTTCATGACTTTCCATGGTGGCAGATGAATCTCAGAGCATTGACAAGAAAACCACATTTTCATTTTTTAAAAAAGCTTAAATAATCAATAATAAATCTAATAAAATACTAAATTATAATAATAAATACATAAATTAGCTTATATAAAAAAGGGGGTCCCTTTAGCTTTTTATAAGCTTAAAAACTAGATTATATAGTTTTCTAAAAACTTATTATACTATACTATACTTGTAAGATTGTAAGAGGGACTGGAAGTCAGGTAGCCAAAGTAGGGGTAGCTGTATTGTAATAACTAAAGCTTATCCTATTTTCTAGTTGTGCGAGATGCAGGGGATATGGTCCCAAAGCCCCCGTTCCACGTGACGTTGTCAATCGCGTTGCAGGTGGGCGGGGTTTCCCAACCACCTTACAATACTATAAAAACTATATTTTATAGTTTCTTAAGTTTTAAGCTTATAAGAGTATATAAGGACTAACTTTTTTATTATTAGCTTATAATTTTAGATTTATATTAATTATTCGTAAAACTTATAATTTTATAAGTATTTTATTAGATTTAATATAATTTTTTATATTAGAAACTATAAAAACTATAAAACTACAAAACTACACTACAGTTAATGCTCTGCTACCTACCTAGGTACTTAGTAGGTAGCTTAGGGACAGCGACTACCCCCGAGGAATTAGTGCAGATAGCCGAGTCGAGTCATCTCATCAACAACTTCACCCTTTAGCTGAAATGCCATTCAAGCTGCCTAGGGGTCTAAACGGTATTGCTGACACCGACCTTCCTTGCAAAATTTATTACAAGTACCTACCTAGTAGGGAGCAGCTACCCAGGCTTCGCTGAGCCTGCAGTTTGTTGGAGGCCACATTCAAGTGCTCACAGGGGCCCTACTTGAAATCATGACCCCGCCAACACGTGCCTGAGGTACCTACGCGCGCGGCCCCTGGCTCTGGTTATAGCACAATTATTATAAGACAGGTCTTAAATTATCAAGAATTATTAAAAGTTTAATATATTAAGTTTAAATTTTTAGCTGTCTTGTGATAGCTGATGGGCTGGTAATGGTCGTCAAAACACACCTTATCGCGCTAAGGTACTCCGTAGGTAGTGGAAGGAGCTTGGCAGTTACTCCCTGTCCCACCCAACGGCCATGGTCGTCGGGTCCACCTCAAGTGGATTACTTACTCGAGTCGACTGGTGCTCTTTGGCTGGGATTAGACCAAGAATCAAGTCGTCCAACCTCATCCAGCTTCAACTCCTTCTTGGTGAGCGATTGCTATAACCACCAGCGTTAGCATCCCTTCTCCGGCGATAGCGAACTAACCGATAGTACACTTACGTTATACATTACTACTGCTTTCCGCCGCCCGCCGGGGCGTGCCGTGCTATCAGGTGTTTCAACAAGTGTACAGCACCACACACCATCATCACATTTGGCAGCGAGCTTATTCTGAGACCCCCACTCCATCGGACTCGATAAGAGGGCAACGCTGCTCTATGCCTGGTTTCGTCGACATCGGGACATAGATTTAGGCGTGAACTTCCGAGAACATTCAGTGGTTACTGGATGTGCCATGGACCAACAGCTTCACGCTGCAAATGACTTTGCTCCTCACATGGCACAGCCTTTGATAAATCTCCAGACCGCTGCGGGTTCAAGTTGGCACAACATCACCGCCTGGGCCATCAACGTGACGCGAAATGCGGCGTTTCTTGAAGACTTCCTTTGGGTCGGTCCACGGATTTTCATGAGACTTGGATCCTACATAGCCTTGTCAGACACCACAGGTGGTTCGACGGGCCGACTGACATCGCCATCGGATGGAGGCGTGTCCTCAGAGCTGCACTTGCAAAACTTGCTGGAACCTGATATTAGTGTCCCTTTGACAGCAAGGATTGGTCCATCCATCGGAGATGCAAATGCAGAGACACAAGCTACACGACTGTCCCTTGATGGCGCGCGGGGCTTGGGTAGCGTATTTGGTTACGTTACCAGTAAGTGGGCAGTGTCAACTATCGCCATGGCTATAATCCTCAACCGTACACATATATTTGCAGCGACCAGAAGGCGATTGCGGTTCTACTGGCATACTAGGCTACTTCTCAGGGTCCTGCCGATCATTCTTCTTGCTTCGCAATCCCTCCACCTTCTCCGGTCCATCCAATGCCAGACGTCACCAATATTTAACCAACTTCGGTGGGGGGATACAAACACGACGTCTGATTTGGCATTTGCACATCCGAGTGCATTCCTTAATAAACTAAGCTCTGGCTTACTTCTCGGCGTCGGTGACAGAGAATCATGTGAGGCCGTTGGCATGGTTCCCAAGGGCGGCGAATTGGATGCTCAAAATCTTCGTGGGTCTTTGAATCTACTATGGCCTCTATTTGGTGTGCTATGTCTTAGTCACTTTATCGAGACGCTATCCTGTGCCGTCCAAGGCCGGCCGCTCTCAGTGGAAACCGGAATGACGCTGTTTGAGCAATCACTTGCCTTCGCAGAGGCAGATGCGGCCGTCAATAATCAGCTTGGCTGGGCGTCCTTGCCTCGGAGCCATCAGAATTTGAACCCGCCGGTATCTGGTTTATCAGCATCAATTTCTCTGACGCGGTCTGCGGTTCTCAGCAAGGTTAACACGCCTCCCGAAGTCTTATTTATTGCATTTCTGTCGTCCATGACACATCTATCCAGTCATATTTTAGGAGTATTTGATGCCCAGTCAAAATACAGACTCGTGAATACAGGGTTTTGGGGCCTCTGTTTCATGGGCACAATCGTCTGGAGCGCTTTCGAATTTGAACTGGGAAATCCTTTGGCACAAAGCATGTTAAGATATCCAACCGTGTGCATCGTTGGATTTGTTCCTCATGTTCTAGTACTGTCTGGCATTGCGGTCTGTTTGCTAATATACGGACTAGCCCTCATCTTGTCTGTTCTAGCTCCGCCGTTGTCCACCAGTGATAGTCCTTCAGCGACCCTTCGTCAAAGGCTAGCACATGCTCATGAAAACATGCAAGCAAATATCTCTCTCTCAGAGATTCGCATAACGAGAGAGATGGATTTTTATACAGCGCTTCTTCGAATCGGGTTTGCTGCCATCAGTATGGCAAGTGAAGCTGTATACCTCAATGAAGACCGTGGTGTCACTCTACAACATCGCACCTGGCTGGAAGAGGCGCGCTTCCGAGAGGTAGAGGAAATACAAAGGCAAGCAATTGGAATTGGGATGCCTTATTCCCAGTATGACCAGATTGGCACTATCGGGCTCGTCCCGGTAAAGGATTGTACTATGGCTGCGACAAGCGGTTATGGCCGCGAACGTGCTGCTCAGAGAATATCCAGAGGGCGAAGTGACAGGACCATCCGGACAGGCACAGGGGCGACTGAAAGAAGCTCAAGGTGGTTCATGGCTGTGGAATTTTTACTGAGCACAGGCAAGTTGATGGTTCGCACAAGTGCCCTAGCGGCACTTTGGGGGTTAGGAAGGATTCGAATAAGGAGTCAACCGGCTTGGCTCCTTTGGCTGGCTAGACGCCAGAAGCTTAGTATGGGTGACAAGGACAGGGTATCCGGAAAGAAACAGGGCATCACTTCGGGTGCTTCTGGACGTTCAGTCACCTGTCAAAGATCAATTCCTCGAATAGAAGGCATCGACGTCGAGACTGAATTCAGGCGGGTCAATGCTAGTCAGGATGAAGACAGCCTTGATGCAGACCTATACAAGTATTGGTTGACCGGGGGCTGGTGGGGTTCAAATGACGAAAGTGGTGACTACAAGCCAGACGATGAGGACAGCTGGGACACGACCTCCGCCATATCCGTCCCGACAACCACAGTCGACGAAAACGGATCAGATAACGGCTGGGAATCGGAAGAAGATAACCCAGAAGCACCCTCAGGGCTATCACTGACTCGAAGCTGGGAAACTACGCCGCCTGCAGATACAATCTTTGACACAAATAATCTAGCACGACTCCTAAACCCGGAGACCGCAGAAGAACGAGAAGAAGCCCACATCCTCTCTGCACACCTGAAGTACGATACAGTAATGACGAGGTCAAGCTTTAGGCGGCAGAAGCATCTTCGACGGAGTCGTGTTCTTCTACGGCCCGGCATGACTGTCACCGAAGGTTACAAATCTTCAGATAGTCGCAACGTGAAGTTGAGCCACGAAGATGAGGAACATCTCTTGGAGCAAATTCTCCTCTCACATCGCAGTCAGAGCGAGCTTCACTCCCGCGACACTGACACAATTCAGCGTACGGATTCGACTACCGAGGAAGCAGCAAACCTGCCGTGTGTTGTTTGCCAGAGTTCCGTACGAACAATCATCGTTTGGCCTTGTCGCTGCTTTAGTCTCTGTGACGACTGTCGTGTGTCACTGGCAATGAACAACTTTGATAAATGCGTATGCTGCCGAAGAGATGTGCTGAGCTTCAGCCGAATTTTCGTACCGTAGCCACATGACAGCCTTGCAGCTACACGAGCAATTGTGGTTCACAGTTATTACTATATCGTGTAGTCTTATTAATTCTACCCTCATCGAAGAAGGCGTAACGACGGTGCAATTTGGTTCCGATGCGTTGAACTCTTTGTTACATGGCCGCCCACTCGACGCTGTATGTATGGATCGAACTTTGACGCGCGTCACGCCCCGGCTCTTGTCCGCCCAGCAAAAAGGCCTTCTTCACGGCTGTTGCTAGGCGTCCACCTCCAACAATGTCCAAAATAGCTATGTGCTCATCCCAATCGTAATCATTTGCCATGAAATGTGCATGAAAGCGCAGCGGGTCACCAGGATAAACACTATGTTGAGCACCAAATCTCAATCCTGGCGTCATATAGTTGCCTCTCTCCTGGAGAAAACCACACAACGAGGCCGCAGGTTCCAATGGCATGCTAGACGGTCTCAATATGTTTCGGGGTAAGAGAAAGATGCTGGATACAGGAGTTAAAGCTAAAAGCCCTACGGTGCTGGCTTGGTCGTTGTCGTCAGGATAGGTGATGATATCACTGGCTACAGTATGGCTATCAATACCCATTCTAGATGGGCAGCTAATGCCAGCTTTGTTTTGTTTCTGACGAGCAGTTATGGGTGCTGCTCGTGAGGCGGCACGTTCCGCTAGCACATGCTGTGCGGTCTGTTTGCTCTGCCGCAAATGGTCTATATACAACGCCCGCGCCTCTTTGCTAGCAGAGTTCAGGGCAATGCCGTGAGCAGCCACGTCGTCTACGATATATGCTGATCCTTTTCGTGCAAGGGTATGGGCTTCCTCAGGTCGCAGCTCCACAGGCAATCCCAAAAAAAGATTTTGAGTTGGTTGCTGTGGCGTTGTCCCAACCAAAGTACCAGCCGTGTTTTCTTGTCTCCTGAGGAGAGAAGCTGCGTTAGGGTCGAATACTAGATATCGTCCAGCAATTTCCGAAATTCTGACCTTGTTCGGGCCAATCTCCGAGTGATCGCTTGTCGAAATCATAGGTCCTGTGGTCATTGTGTTTGAGTTAGCTCAGGGGCACATGTCCTAGAGTTTCTCAAGCGGAAGGGTTTACGTGGTAAGGGCATTGGAGAATCATAAGTCGTCTTCGTAATGTTGAATGTGTCGTCACAGAATTTCAGTGGATTGACAGATATTCAGATGTATAATCATGATGCAAATTTGGGCCGCCAGAAGTAATCGGGAGCAAGGGAACGTAGTGTACATACCAGAATGCGTTGCAATGGCACAATAAAAAATGAAAATCGGTGGGCGTGCAAGAGTTTTGAAAATTTCAAGTAGGCATGGCTCGTGTGGGTCAATACGGATAACGGGGCTAAAATCGCATATTGGCAAATTGAGCAACTTATGCTTCAACCGGGGCAGCCCAGCTTCGAAGTCGGTACCAGATTCCCCATCAGAAATTCAGGTCTTGAATTTTGGACTGCTCCGAGTGTGATGAGGACCTCGATTCTTCGTCAAGGCCGACAGGAGGCAGGCTAAAAGGCATTATGACTAGTCCATTTGAAGCACTGAGCCGAAATGACATGTCTTCTCTCTTCCAGCACCCTTCCATTCCACCACCTTTCTCATGAAATATCGGCAACTTATGAACACGAACCAAGCCTTGAGCTTTGCTTTCCTCCGTCCTGATTTCCTTCGCGTACGTCGGCTGTTTCAGAGGTACAAGTTCAACAACACCATCAGACAAAAGCTCCATCCACTTGCAAAGTCCGAAATGTCGTGGATGAAGAGATATGGGCAGCGAAACTACCGCAGCAAGTTGGGATGGGAACTGCCGTAGCAAACTCTGCAGACTGTGTAAAAACCGCAAAACCTCATCCGGTTTGCATGCTGTGGCGGGGTACGCGGCAGGGGAAAGCATATTAGGTATGATGACTCGATGTACCGACGACGAAGCCTTCAGATTCGAGCGAAGCTCAGATATGAAATTTGGGAAGAAAGACTGGTCTCCGAGTTGAGCGGTTTCTCGGGTGGGATATGTCAGCAGCCGACCGTGCACACAGTTTGCTCCCAATCTCTTCGAAAGGTCAAACGAATGGCAAAAGGTGCTAGGACTTTTGGAGAGTGCAGCCTCACGTTGTGCGTCAAGACCTGGTTTCTGTTGTTAGTATTGTGATTGCAAAACTGTGGAGGTTGCGTGGTGCTTGTACCTTTATTATTTGACTGGCTACCCAGGGTCTCATATCTCCATGCTATCTTCATTTTACTTGCGGATGGAGAACTTTGTGCATGAGGCGGCTGTTCCTTCGCTTGAACTAAACCGGGGAGCTCTCGGCGCCAGGCGTCTCCAACGCCGAGAACGTGAACTTGATGGCCCTGAACTAGACCTTCTCCGGCAAAATAGCGAAGCAAAATACCTCCAAAGTCCGTCGTTCCGGATTCTTCAATTAACAGAGAACTTCCAAGTGGTAATCCCGCATGACCAGCTAACAGCTGATCCAACGAAAATGTACCAGTTGACGTGGTCAAGCGACCATCTAATGGTGATGGACGGGTACCGGGGAGGGGCTCTCTGCAGTCAGTCTGCGATAGTGAGGACGGCATCGGCGCACGAATGACAGTATTCCTTTTGCGGAACGCCATGACATCTGCATCTTCTAGACTGCGATTGGCGTAGGTTCGTCTTGTCCCGCACGGGCACAAATAAATCCAAGTTGGAAGACCTGGTTTTCAAGACAAGTTCGATGGGACTGGTGAATGTGAAACGAAAGGAAAAGAAGCCTGCAGACGGGCAGACATGAAAATGAAATGTTGGACGAAATGTAATCGGCCGGGGCGGAATTCTCGTGCTGGAGAGTGTACTCTGTAGGTTACGTCGATACGTAGTTGCTCAAGAAATGTCACTGGTCGTACAGTCAACTAAATTGCACAACTTGAGACTGGGAATGTGGATCCTGGTTCACTATCCTGTTGGGGAGAGGGGGGGGGGGGGGGGGAATTGACGGCAAAAAAGGCCCCGGTTAGAAGATATGCCTGTAACAGTCATTCGACTAAGTTAACCTTTTTTTTTTTTCAAACGCATGTGAAGAAATATTGCCGAGAAAACAAACTCAAAGGGCCTAATATTGTGATCCCTAGCGCATCCCAGTCAACATGTCCGGCGGCGGTGGCGACGCAGCTCTGTTTAAGGAGAGCTTTACGGTCACCTAATATGACCAATCCAAATACGATCGTGTTGCCCGCATTTCCTGTACATCGGCCGACTCGCAAACTGTGATGGTGCTTGATATCAATATTGAACTCTTCCCTTGCGCAAGGTCTGATTCTCTACATGTTGTCCTATCTACAACATTATCACCAGACGGCAGCAAGGAGGACGATAAGGGTTGGCGAGATGTCGGCAAGGGAGGGGACGCCCCAGCTACGTTGGCTGATTTGTACGACTATGTTTGCTATGGCAAAATTTACAAATTTGAAGAGACATACGATGGCAATACCATGTACGTACTTGGACGTCTTTTGCATTTGCTCTCCGTTACCTATTGAGTCAAATGGCCATGATCCCGGCTATATTCGGCGGTTCCTCAGAGCCCCTGCTTGTTCTCGATCATTCATCGCTAATCATCGACTGAATAAAATAGCAATGCATACGTCTCATTTGGAGGCCTCCTGATGTCGTTACAAGGACCCGTAAAAAAGCTCACGCCTCTGCGAGTCGACAACGTCTATCTTCTGATCAAGAAGTAACCAAACAAACACTCGACATTTATCCAATGGCGCATGCACACACACGACATTCAGCCGAGGATACCAATTCGCATCTTTTAAAAAGGGACTTCGCCTTAACGATACACGTAATGGCGGCAAAAATTGACACCCCTTTTTGGTAATTTTTTCTAAGAGAACTTGAGTAATACTCGAAACCATTGGATGCAAAAAGATAAAAGCGCCTACTGATCTCCAAATACGTCATGTTCTTGACCACCCTTCTTGATGCGGCCCTGGGAAAGGCAGTTGACGATGCATCCGTGCCTGGATGGTACTTAGGTGCGGCTCCTCGTCTTCCTTCAGAATGCCATGGCGAATAAAGAAGTCCAGCATGACTACGGCGCAGTTGTCCTTGAACTTGCCACAAGCCAGGTCCCTCTTGACTTGGTTTACGTCGCAGAGCTTGAATTCTTCGACTTCGCCGTCCTTTGGTTGCGGGATTACCCTCGCGGGTAGTTTTAGGTCATATACCCACTGGCACTCCGGATAAATAAAATCGGCTTGACCAACGTTCTTTTCATCGGTGACATATATGTACGTAACCGTGCCGACTTCTTCTGCATTCGGACGAACCACGTCTTCCATGAGACTGGCTTCTTCATCCGCCTCACGAATTATGCACTCAAAAGGTGTCTCGCCTGTCATTAGCCCGCCAGCAACAGTGTTATCAAGCATCCCAGGAAATGTTGATTTGTTTGCTGCCCGCTTTGGGACCCATATTAGCATCCCATGCGGTGCAGAAGGTTCATCCACGTATGCGGTCAAGTGAACTCCATATCTCACAGTTCCGAGTAAGCCAATAGCAGCGCGCTCCATGCTGAAAAGGAGTTCGCCATTTCGCCCATAGACGGGCCAGAGCTCACCTCGCCAACCCCTAAGCAGCTTGAAAGTTTGGTGTTCTCGCCAATGGGCAGATAGACTTGCTGCCATTGCGGTCCGCTCGGGCTCTGAGGGTAATTGAAAAAGTGATAGCGTCTTATTTATGTGATTGACTTCCATTACACCCCTCACATCATCAGGCACTGTTGTTAACTCTGCCACAACGCGATCAAGCACGTATCCGATTGGGTAAGTACCGTTTGCGTCCCTCCAAACAAGGGTATAAATGCCTTTTGGCACATCAACCAGTGTAGAAGATCCGGTAGCACAAGGGGGGTAGGGAAATCTACAGCCTTGTCAGTTCTTCGATCCGAGTTCAGATGCGTATGCCCATCGAAGTGTGGAAGAACGTTTCGAAGATTGTGCGTAGCTTTATCGAGAAGGCTAGGAGACAAGCAGCAAAATATAAGAGGGGAGGGTGGCATGATTCGCAAGTCTCACTTATCCGCATTATTAACCAGGTCTAGGTTTGACTTCATTTCGGGCTTTGACTTCATTTCGGGCGATTGAAACTTAGGTGGAAGGAATTGGTTAAATACGTAAGTATTCAATGTGCTGGGCGTCCGTTGTGATGTCGTCAAGTCGTGAACAGAAGTTAATGATTTTATGTGAGACCAAAATCACCGCAGGTGGGGTGGCCTGCGCTCGCTGGAGCGATCCAGTGAGAAGAGCCGACCCGCGGATGCTGATTGGCGCAAGACAAATATTTGCACACGACGTTCCCGTCCCTAACCCGCTGGAACCGTGTTTCTAAGAGGCGGAAGAGCAGAGGAATAGCGGAAAACGCCTTCGTCGCCATCAAGTAAGGTGGGACATCTTTGTTGTTATTCTCTTCCTCTTTTGTATGCTTGTTGAGACCCTCATCGTCGTTGAGTGACGGTTTCTAGCCACCCCACGTGACGGTAAGCGGATTTTTTTGTGTACTCGGGCAAAATTATCGTGTTCAGTCCCAAGACTCGACATTGGCTGACCCAAGTTAGCAAGCTAGAGTCGTTGAATGACAGGAAGACCTGACCGCCTAAACGGCAACATAACCAACTATACAACACTCAGCAATGTCCGGCCTCATGTTTGGAGTTATACCAACCGGGCAACAGCTTATCACTGACCCTACATCCACACCTTCTCCTACGTCATTTCTTTACACACTGCCGAACACCAAGTCTTTTTCTCATGTTATGGTAATTTTGCTACCGAATGTTCAGCTTCCGGATAATACCGCTGCTGCAATCTATCTTGCCACTGCCAAGGACGTTGCTATGGCAGCTGAGTTGGGCCGCACACCAAACTTCAAATTTCTTGGAGGGATAGGGTCTGGGAAAGAAAGCGCGCTGTTCAAGATCAACTCGAACCCTAGCCAAAATCCCAGCAGTGCAGAAAATGACGGCATCGTGATTGGGGTTTCTATTGAACCGGCAGAGTCTGTCGGCCAACGTTTGGGACAGCTGTCAGCCGACAAGACAGCAAACAGCTCGGCGTCGAATTCCAACATGTTGCAGATGCCTACTCCTCTCCTTGCCCAACGTATAATACAAAACGCATATAATTCTTTGGCAGGCTACACCCAGCCGATAGGTCCTGAGGGTGTCGAGGTTGTCCCTCTCCGGGCATTTGACGAGTGGTGGCGAAAGTTCGAAAGTCGAATTCGCAACGACCCCAACTTTCTTGCGAAGCCGCAAGAATAAATTTAGTCAAGCATTTGAAAATGTCCTTTGATAAGAGTACCTATAGAATTTTCAATTTGAAAGCCGCTGGTAACCTTTTACGATACCTTGGCAGTTGCCTACAATCCGTTTTCGAACGTAGTCTTTCGTGTAATTTGATCCAGAACGGCACAAAGTCAATACGGTCTCCCCGGAGGATTGTTGGCTGCGAGTCTAATAGACATAAATGGCCCAGCTGTTACTACGAAAACAGCAAACGTGCTCACAGCTAATGTAAATGACCCAGTAACACCAAGCGCACAAGATTCTATAAGCCATTCTGTACCTAAGTCTCTTCTATCAAATAACATCATTGCTACTCAGCTTGCGTCGGAGTCATAAGCGGGCTTTTCAATCGAGTCGGGCTGGTTGCTCTGCTTCTCCTACCAGCGTTTAACATTTGGAGGTTTGGTGCCAGACGTTCCCTACTTTCTGTTCGAAGGACTAGTCCAGTTCGATCCATTACTGATGGTTGTTGACCCTCCTCGAGGCGACCCAAGACGACTTTAGGGGCCCCTGGCCCGTTGTATCTATTTGCATGGGATCCCTCACTGCTGTCAGAGCCGTTGATATCCTCGGAAGAGCCATCGAGCTCATATCCTGTAGCCTCGCCTTGTTCTAAGATTCTTTCATAATTTGCCGTACCACGACCAAATATTTTATTTAAGCTAAGTCCGCACCGTGGCTTGCGACCGGAGTGGCGTCGCCGCCAAATGTTCTGTATTCGACGACTTCGATCAGGCCGTTGAAGAAAGAATACGACTAATAAAGCGACAAACATCAAGCCCAAGACATAATACAAGGTCTGGTTTTCGAAAGCGTTGTTGTCGTCGGTATCACTGTCTTCACTATCGAAATAGGAGTCCGATGTCAAAGGTATAGATCCTGCGTGCTCAAAATCGGAGGGCGTCTTCGAAGCTACATTGCTTCCAAAGCCAACGGGCAATGACGAGAGATGAGGTGATATTTGGCCCGACGCATAGAGAACCATCTTTCCTAGGGTCCAACTCACTTCCACACCTTCCACGGTATCAATTGGTTGGAACGAGTTGAGGAGGTCCTGCCTGCCATTTCCTGGCTTGTCGTATGTTGTATTGAAGCTGGGTCTAGGCGAAGGTCCCACGCCAAGCCGAGGGATTCCAATCCCTTCATATAGAACATTTATAAGCCAAGACGCTTTGAAGCAGGCTTCTTGTGCGTCTTGAATCTTCTCTTCTGTAGATTTCTTCCGTTTGACTATGTCGCTTTTTATTGCAGCCCACTCGCGGCTACAGAAAGCAAGGACTTCTTGCTGATAACTTGCGAGATCGTATGCCTGTTGCTCCTTGCCAAAAACGCCGTGGGTAGTATGCCAGTACTCTGACACACCAATGAAATGGTTAACTTCGAAATCTAATGCTGGAACGTGCTGGCCGTTTAGAAGGCATGGATGATCTTCGCATGGCGCATCTTTACGAAGTAGGGGATACGTTTTCTTCAAACACTCATCAAACGCGCCCGTTCCGACAAGAGTTTTGCCGATGATAGATTTGCCGGGACCTGAATCCTCCCCAAGATAACTTCGAAGACCCTTCGGCATACAGGGATCCGGAATTTCGTCGACTGGATCGGCGTAGCTTTCCACTAAACTTTGTATATACCGAAACCGGGCTTTGTTGGCTCCAAATCCTAGCCATGTCGCAGTGAAGACCTTGTACTCAGCTGATGACCCATCCAGACGTCGCATTCGAATTAATTTTAGATCATTGGCATGGCGCTCGGCTTCGGTCGTGTTAGGAGCGAAGGCAATCTGTGCCGACGCGCCACCCATGTCCAGAAAGCCATAAGTATGGTGACCCTTTCCGTGGACATGTTCTTTCGGTCGATCAAGAGCCCCCAAGAGGTAATTTGTTGCAATCCAGCCATACAATCCTTCTGTTTCTCCGGATATAACCTGTACTCGTTCGTCACAATCAGGAAGGTGGAATTTTGTGTTCGTTTGTAGAAATTTACAGATCCCTTTTAGAAGTGATGCCTGTTGGGACTCTGGAAGAAACCGAACGCCTGCTGTAGCCATTAAAAAAATAGGGGTTTTGGAAACGTTTTCAGGAGGCACTTCACTGAGGGCCATGTTGATGAGAGACTGTAAATGCTTGGGGCCAATGGATGCCACATCTTCCGCAAATGTGGCAACGCCAGGACGTATTTTTTTGCTCTTTATTAGCTTCAGCTTTGGCAAAGTACGCAGTTCCGAAGAAGAGGCATTTTGACTAGCTGAGATGGGGTGTTTCCATTTGTAGACATAAAGACGGGTTCCCGACGAACCGGCGTCGAGAATAACTCCATATTGAGCTAGAGTCACGAGGTATTAGTTGACAAGTTATTGCGACAGAGTCGGCTAGGAATCCCGTGCTAGTGATATGATAAGTACTTGACATACAATTTCTGCCCATTAGGACATAATTTACGTTGCAAACCAGTACTCAAGGACGTGTTATGCGACTTTGAACTGGAGGGCAGCGTTTTATTTCTTGTGTAGTGTTGGTCGCAGCGAGTGGTCTGCCGCAATCAAGGCGTTTTCATTTCAAGTCGGTAAATCGGCAACGGTGCTTCCTATTTAATGAATTTGGTCGTTAATTATTCGGACGACGGATACGGTGGTTGCGGTCGTACAGTTGGGAGGTGCGAATGCGCCAAGAAAACTGCGAAATAATCATAAGACACGCGGCGAGTGGCGTGATTTGAACGGCGACGACGAGATACTGTAGTCACAATCGTAAACTGTGTCTAGAGCGAGAGGGCTGTGGGCGAAAAGGAATGCAACCTGATGATTATAGGATAATGTATGAGAAAACGAGGCGCCGACTTCAAGCCTGTCGTCATTGCAGTAGAGAATCTGATCCTTTAGGAGTACGTGGCCACACTGTGCAAATACAGTTCTTACACAAATTCGCACCATGTGGAGCTTGAGTCGGGAAGTAGAGACAGGGTAAAATGTATGTTTTAATGACACCTGTAAATAGGAATAATCTCTCCAACTAGTACCAAAGAGATATAAAAAATGGGGGCTTAGGGTCGATGCCGTAAGTGAGGACTAATTTTACGGCTGTCTTTCATACCATTTAAGATTACTTACCCAGTACGCAAGCTCTTAGTAACCTGAAAAATTAAAGCTCGAGCGAAACAAGGTACCAAGGGCAAGCGGAAGGGAACTTGCTATCCGCGATGATTCCGTACACCAATGCGGCTTCAACCCATATGAGACGACTACACCACACAGCGCGTTGTCGATTGGAACGCCCGATGTCAATTGATTGTATCCGTATTGATAGTGAATAACAATTACGAAAGATGCCTGTGTACCTAGGCTTGTAAGATTTGTTCTTGAAAAGACACACCTGGGCCTCTGTGCGAGGCCATTGCCACCTGGTACCTAACTTACTTGGGCACTATCGTATAGCAGAACAGACGAGGGTCTCCCAGAAGCCCGCAGTTCACCTCTGATTTCCTATACCATATGGAATCGCTTGATCGCTTTTGACGTAGGAAGCACAAATAAAATGTGTGCAATAATGCCGCTGAGAACTTCATTACGCACTCGAGAATGGCATGTGATCTCGCAAAATGCACAATCTACCTATGCTTAAGTAGGAACCGCTACTACGTGCAAAGCGACCTATCTCCACGGCAGCGAAATGCCTATAACAGGCGAAAATGACAAGTCTGCCCCAACATCTTCCCGCAAAATAGATTCCCGGGTATGTTTAACTACATTGCGAGTTTGGATTTGTTATAGTCAGCCCCGACGAGACAATGTACTCTGTCGCGTCAATGCCATATGATGCACTGGTCGTTCCTGGCTCGAACAGTTAAGGTGTCTCCTCGACTTGGTCACAACTACTTCTGGGTTTGATCTTTCCCCGACCAACGGCCAATGGTAAGAGTCTTTCTCTGGCCTTGTATCGGACCAATTGCGACCATGTGTCTGCCAATGAAATTGTGGTGTCGAATCAACAGCGTTTCCCACTGTCCTCGGGGGGTTCCCGTTCCCAGAACCTGCTTTGGCTTTGTGATATAACTCCTGGACTTGCAAAAGACGCCGGCTCTTGTCTCTATGAGCAACTACTAGCTCTTCGTTCCTGCGGCACACTCGTTCGTGTTCTTTCGTAGTGCCTAGTCCGGTTAGCTAAAGAGGGGTCATATGCCATATCCTAAACCTACTATCAATTATCGTTTGTAGTCGCGCTATCTCGGCATTTGCCTCCGTGACAGTCTGATGGAATTGAGATTTCAGCTTTAAATGCTTTTCAGTCAAAATCCCATAAACGTGCTGTTGGTAGCAGATCTCTTGCGTCTTTTGATAGGCCCAAAAGTTGAGGGCTCTTTCGGCGCACTCCAACACGATACCAGGACTAAGCCCGCTAAGGACAATAGCCTTATGGTCTTCACTAGGAAGAAGGTTTGCTATCCCGGTCTCTCGATCGCGGAACAGCGTTGAGTGACAGGCGGGACAGACAAAAGTCTGCTTGGCGGCTATGTCACAGACTAAGCGGAGGTGTTGAACACAATCTAGGCAAAACGCATGACTTACACGGAAATTAGCCTAATGGAATACCATCACATTAATAAATCTTTGCGATTCTGCAAATATTGATAGAAACATACCTGCACGTGGTAACAAGAGCTCTATCGCGGAGCTCCCTTCTACATTTGAGATTGTTGCACAGCAGACTGTAGTCCATTGTGTCTCGTCTGAAGGCAGGCTCGGAATGATGACTGCTGAGCTAAGCTAATGGAAAGAGCATAAAAGCGGTCTGGTAGGAAAGAAAATTCAAGTGGAGAGAGATCAGCAGCTAACCTTGAGTCTGGTCATGGACAGCGGGTGAGGAAGTCGCAATTCGTGGGTATTCATATGGCCCATTCGCTCCTGGGATCGACAGGGCTGTACAAAGCAAACACAGCAGGTGCAAGGCACACTAGGACTCGTAGAACCATGCCTACTACTACTAGGGTAATACCTACGGTACCTACCTACCTACGCGCGCGGCCCCTAGTTCTGGTAATAGTATTAATTAATAAAAGTCTTATATATTAAAAAAAATTCTATTTAATTGTCTTATAATAGATGATAGCTAGAGGATAGTTACTAGAAAGCCCCTTAGCGCGCTATAGTAGGTAAAGTATATACCCTAAAAGGTAACTACATTATTGCGGTGTAGAGACTTGGTGCTATTAAGTTTACTGTATGGTTAATTTATAAGGTGGTTGGGGAACCTCGCCTACCTGTAACGCGATTAATAACGTTACGTAAAACGGGGGCTTTAGGACTATATTCCCTATATCTTATATAACTAAAAAATAAAATAAGCTTTAATTATTATAATATAATTACTTTTATCTTAGCTACTTAACTTTTAGTCTCTTTTATAATCTTATAATTTTTAAAGCTTCTTAAAAAGTTACTTAATTAAAATAATAGAGATAAGCACTTAAAGAACCCTTATTTTATAAGCGTCTTTACCTTTAATAATAGAGAATCTAATAGAATTATTAAGCGATTAAAAGGATATAATAGTGTGTATTGTATTTTGTATTCTTAAATAATTAAATAAGGCTATTATAGCTCTTAAAAATTAAATTACTTAATTAAAGAAGCTATAAGAGCTTTAAAAAAAGAAAAAGAGGCTATAAAAATTAATTCTTAAAACCACTTACTTAATAATAAAAAAAAGGTATAACTCTTATAATTTAAAGAAAAGTAATAATTAATTTTTATAATTTAAAGAGAAGTAATAATTAAAAAGTATAGGTTAAGAATATTAACTTATTACGAATATCACTGCACGAGACGCGGGGAGCTAGG